TAGGCCTGAAAAGACAACCCTTTTTGACCAATTTCAAATTCTAAGCACCCTAAACAAATAAATGAATAAATGCTGCCATCTCCCAGTCCTGGTGAGCTACAGAACATACAGGCTTTCCCACTGACACCTCTCAGCATTAAAAACATGGAACTCATTTCTGCAAAAGTACTTTGTACTTTTATCTTCTTGTTAGTAGGACTCTTCACACCACTATCTGGAACATTAAGGGCACCTGACTATCAAAAATAATTTCTAGACAGAGAGTAATCCTACACAAGATAATGGAAGATAAGGTAAAAGGGAAAGTAATTTGTTACTAAATGTAAATAAAAGGACTGACCACAGGGATATGCATGCTTCGCTGTTCAGCACACTCTGGTTGCACATTGTTTCTTCACTTTCTTATATTTCTTCATTAAAAATGCCAACTTTAGGAGATCCATCCTAAGAAGTCAAAATAGCAGAAGCTCACTTTTTATTGATGGAAAAAGGCTGCACCAGAATCTCCTGTGCCAGACTGGTGGGACAAAACAGGACTCTTAAATCCACTTGACCAGCTCTATCAATGAACAATTTCAGGGCAAGAACACCAGAAGAAAGGCAGTAAAACATTGATTATTCTTTTTACCTTACACCGAGACATCTGGTTCAGCACAGCTGAGAAACCAGCAGCTTTCAGCAGGGATCACCAGCTGGATGATGGGACAGGCCAGGCAAAACTTCCTCAAAGAGCAATAAAAGATAAGCCCTATTTTCTTTTGTGTTGCTTCTCTAAAATAATAAAGCCAATAAGCAATATTCCATCTAACAAATGCAGACAGAATCTAAATCCTCCAACATTTATACCTCCAGATACAGGACCAGGGATCAATTCACATTTGTTTCTCTCCAATGTCTTCTCCCAGTTTTCCTTGTATTTTCTCCTTGACTTCACTGGAAATAGTATTTCATAACCTCAGCTAGAGGCAGCCCGTTGGAAGTGCTAAGCATGGCAAGAGAGCCCATCAATACAGTATTTATATTATAACCAATTTTCAAGCCATCTGTTCAAACACTGACCACAGGATCCAACTCAATAAGCACACTCCACAGTTCAAGGACAGAAAACTCACCTCCAGGGAAGTCCCGATTACCAACAAGATGACTGGTAGGAACAGAAGAGACCATAATTATTTCCACGTTAAAGACATTGAGGCACTTTCAAGAATATCAGTTAATTTTTTAGCCTCTTAGAGGCAATGCACAACTGCTTTCTGAACCACCAACACTACAAATAGTCAAATTCCCATTCCAAAAATATTATACTCTGTCTTAATTTTGGTATTTTTCATACACACTGATAGTTTCTCTGTTTCATATGCGCTCCTCAAGGTTCTCATCCAAACTATGAAGGAAACACAAATTTTTAAGAAAGACACCTGAAGAGAACACAAAAAAGGAGGAAACCACTTTCACCCATATACAAGCCTTACTCATTAAGGCATACAAAAAATATAAATTTCAGCAAAGGTGTTTCCTAATGATTGCTTGGTAAAAGCATTTTGCTTAAATAATCTGAATACAGAAAAATAGCAGCAATCTCTCAAATATTATCGTACCTGTCATGAAAATAGTACAGACATGAAGGGGAAAATCAAATAAATACCTAAAATACTTAGAAAGTAAGTAAACAAGAAGCTTCCCATCATAAAATACCTATTAATCATCTCGTTTCTCACACTTTTTAATTAATAACAAATACTCAGTGTGACTTGTACTGCAAATAACAATTCACCTATCAAAAATACTTCTTTCATTAATAAAATCATTACATATCTTAAATTTGAGATCACTACAATTCAACCATAATTAGCAATTACAGTTGATGCAAGTAAAAAAAAGACAACCGAATGCTCACCAATAAAGTGAGGAGCTCAGAGAAAAGCGATGCATTTAGACTCTGAATTGTTATTTTGGAATTTTTCCTCAGCTGTCAAGCTATTCTATATTTTAATCCTAAATATATTCCCTGCAGATGAGAGTAAAAGATGCCGTTCAGCCAGTCAGCTGAATTTCATTAGTGGTGTGATATGAGCTTCAATTATTACACACTAGAAATGTGCAATTCTGATCTCTGAAAACCAAGTCAGCTAATTCTAATGGCAGAAAACCAGAACATATGGAAATCTGGATGTAAAGACAAATAATTTCAAATGACAAGCAGACCTCTGCTGTCTCACATGCAACCTACTCTAAAAGAAATTGTCAGAAATTTACAAAATAAAAACTCAAGGAAAGAGCAAAAAGAAGGCTTGTCTCCATTCTTCCAAGCTCTGGGAAGGCCAGAATAATGGCAGACACACTTTTGGTATTTGCATACGCTTGCAGCACAGCGAGGAACAAACACAGCTTTCAGCCCGCTCCACTTTGATCGGCACAGTAAGGTCACAAATGCTCATCAGATGACTTTTCAGTAACTTCTGAGAAATGGGGCACCATGAATAGAACTGCTTGTGGTGCAAGAAAGGATCATTCATCTGCCCCAGGTCCTCCACTCCGGACATACCACTCGATTCTTTCTCATTAAGTACAAGTGAACAACTAATGAGCAACAAAGTTGCTCCAACATTCTGAAATTACATGTCTGAAAAACCTCTCACAACAAATCCCTCTGCAGCCAAACAGCAAAATTAACAGCAAGCCTGCCCTCATCCTGCAGAGCTCCCAGTCTGCTCAGGGAAGATGCTCTTTCGGTCACAAATATGTTCTTTTCATAAAGGACAAATAAATAACAAACACTGGTAAGAGCTGAAATGTCAACATGCATGATTCATCACTCTCTTCATTAATGATGCCAGTTCAAGAGACAGCACCACTCTCCCAGATTACTTCCCTGCCATTAGCTCACACAACATCACTCCTCAGCAGCACCAGGGCCCCAGCGACGTGCAGAGACCTGCCTGAATAGGAATAGTAACATGAACTCACCAGGATTCTGTATGTTCCTCAAGTATCGGCATGTGCCTCTGTCAGATTGGCTCTTAAGGATTCCTACCTCAGGTTACTTTTTCAGCAAACCTAAATAATCCTCATCTTTACAATGCAACAGGATGGATGGGAGAGGAAGCGGGGAAAAAAAAGCTACCAAAATTTTAAGTTCAAAAAAAGCAACATTTTTAGTAAATAAGCCCTACACTCAGAGCAGGAAAAAACTTTGCCCAAAGTGTTATAAAAATTACTGAGGAAGCAAAACTTTGACCAAAGTTTGCTTTATGTAGAATACATAGAAACCCAACTATTACATAATTTTATAAAAGCCATGAATAAGTAATGATTCCTTCAAAATCAAATAAGGATGCAACATGGCACAAACCCAAAGACACGACAAATAAGCACATGGTACTTTTTATGTTTTATTGTTACTAATTAACGTTTTCTTACAGAGTATTTTTCAAGATAGTGTTTTTCACGCCACAGTATAAATTCTGTTATTTGATGAATTTTGGAAAGATAGGGAATAAATGCTACCCAGAAAGAAAGCCAGACTGCTCAGGGGACTCAACAGATTATTCAATGATTTCTCTTCCTGAGGAGCTGAAACACCACAGTCCCACCACCATAGCACCCAGAACATACAACATTTTTATTCACAACCTAGTAAAGTAACTTCTGCTCTCTCATCGGAATCCCACAGGCAATTCATGCTAAATTCCTCTCCAATGTGTCCAGCATCCTTGTTAAACTAGATCCTTTAATCACATGCTGCTGAAGTAGAAACTTGAGGAACCCTTGGATGGGACAGCTTCACAAGGGATAACTCCAAGGCTGGGCTCTAAATTCCCAGCTTCTTCCTTTCTAATTCAAGTCCACAAAACAAGAGCTATTTCCTCGACATAATGCAGTTTGTATTTAAAGCAATTACATTTTAAATTAATGTAAAACAAACAACTGCATTTTAGCCCCATACAATAATGGGACCGGAACCATTCTAAGGAACATAACTAGGATTTGGTTTTTCCAAGCTCATAAAATCCAGCTGGCAAATAAACCAGAGACAAATGACCCAGTTCACTGGATCAAGTACTTGCAGGTGCAGTGAGCTCCAAACACAAATTTATCTCCAGTGAGTGCAACAGGCATGTGCTCCACCTTCAAGTTAAAATAAAGGTGCCATTCTGGGTTGGCTGACACCAATTTTCTTCGCAGTAGCTCACACAGGACCATGTTTTCATTGAAAATTTGAACTATAGAGTCAAAAACAACTAGTGGGCCCTGTTCTGTTACCACTGATGACCACACTGACCTCCCAAAGCCCTTACTGGCATGTCACCATGTCCTGTGACACCACAGAGCTCCACATGTCCTATGGATGTTGAAAGAATTCCTAGAGGTGGGCACATATCACATTTGAAACAAAGCACAAGACAAAACAATCTGAAATTACTGATCAAGCTGACTGTGAGGGTTATAACCAATGACGTAACAAAGGCTGCAAGACTATGAGTATTTGTGGAGTACTAAACACAAACCATTCACTTTCTGTACACCAAAAGGTGCCATTTTAAGGCCTTGTGCAATACTTCAGACACAAGTACCCAACTGTCATCAACCATTCAGAGAGCTCATAAAGGATAACCCAGCCACTCTATTTCCTACTCCTGCCACTTTCAGGCTCCACAGGTGAAGTTCAGTTTGTTGATCCAGCAAGAAATGAACTCCACAAAATAAATAGCTGTCATTCACACAACAGCTGCTCAAAAGTTCAACGCAGCCCATGACAGAGGGTCCGCAACACTGCAGGTGAGAGAACAGGATACCGATTGAGCAACGCTTTCTAAAATCTGCCTAACCTCATCAAGAAACAACACTCAAAGCCATTTGCTTGTCTGGATGTAAATGAGATGTTGATTATGGCAAATGTCAATATATTGTATTTTCTTCATTCAACCACAGGTCTATCATGCATTTCCTAGGTAAACATTCCTCCACACCAACTGCCCATAATCTAAGGTGTTTCTCACCGCACAGCCTCATGTGACTGTAGCCAGCAAATCCTCTTCAAAACATTCTCACCAAAAGGTACTTATTACGCCAGCTCCTTTTTCCTTTTAATTCATGCCTTAGGAATGGATGTTCCCAGGCGCAGGTTTGGAATTTAAATTCTGAAGATTAAATAAGGAAAATAAAAAACACCCAGCCTTTAGCATTTTGCAGGAATCATTCCACGCTCCAGCCTGAGCAATGCTGCTGGAAGGGTCTCCTGGCCATGTTGTTGCTCTCCACAGCACGCTTGCAGTATTTCTTCTTCTCCCAATCCAACATTGATTTGCCTTCGCTTCTCTACCGTAGCTATGTTGCACTCCCCAGCAGCGCTAATTAGCCTCCATAATTTATTTAAGTTCTCCAGCTATTTCATTTTCCTTGCACTATTTTCACCTTTATAAAAGCCTAAAACCCACAGTGGTCCACCATTGTCGAAATCAGCTAACCGACACTAGCTCCGGAACTTCCCAACACAAACGGGGATGAGAATCTGCCTTTTTCTTCCATAACACCCATCTGAGCGCCGTCTGCCTCATCATCTCGTATTGCTTTTTTGCATTGTAGCCCCCACCAAGCAACCCACGCCTGCAAGGGAGAGATACAGTGTGTGTCATTAGACTCCACACGCCTTACTCACCCCTCCGAGGGCGCAGAGGGAGGGGGTTTAACCCTCCCGGTGCCCGCAGCAGCGGGGGCGAGGGCGATGTGTGTTCGCATCACGTGTGCGGTACCTGCGGCACCTCCCGCTAAACACGGCGCGAGAAAAACGGCCCCCTACAGCCTCCGCCGGGCCCGAGGGGATGGATCGGCATTCCGCAGGGTGGAAAAAACACCGACCACCTACCCCTGCACGCCGCTTTTTTTAAAAACAAAGCAGCCGATCTCTTTTTAAACAAAATATTACATTTCTCCTTGAAGAAATAGAATTTTGGAGAACTCGCTGCTCGCGCCGACCCCGCCTTTCCCGGCGCTCGCCCGCCGCCGCATCCCAGTCGAATTAGCGAGGCACCGACGGCGCCGGCTTCCCGTGCCCGGGAATGGCGAGGAGGAACCCCCCCACCCCAGCCCTGTTGTCGCGGTCCCCTCGGCTCCGTCCCCCGCCCGCGGGAGGGGCGTGGCGGGGATCGCGATCTCTTCCCCCCCCCCGACACAACGCCGGGCGTTGCCCCCTCACGGTGTGTCCCCTTCGTGTCCCACCCTCATCTGCGGCCGCGGGGGTTCACTCGCACCGGTCCTTACCTGGCGCGGGAGAGTCCCGGCGGCCCCTTGAAGAGCGCGGCTGCGCCTCCCGCTCACCGCATCGCCGGGAGCCGCCGCCGCCGCCGCGGCGAGCGCGCGCCCGAATGGGAGGGGACGGGGGGCGGCCGGTCTCGCCCCTCCTCGGCGGCTCCTTCACCGCCCGCCCGCTACAGCGCCCCCTCCGCCCGCTCGTCCGTGCCCGCCGCGGCCTCCCCGGGGAGCCGCCGCTCCTCCCCTGCTCCTTTCCTCTTCCCTTCCCCGGTTCCTTCGGTCGCACCGAGCTCGCCGCCGCCCCACGGGAGCCCGCGGAGGGCGGGGAAGGCAAGCGCCGCACGGGCGCGCGCGCTCCCGGGGCTCCCTACCCACCACCCAGCAAGAGGGCACGGAGGGGCGCGGCCCAGCGCGGATTCATGACGAGGGCACGGTTATACAAAACAGGCGCGCCACGGTCCTCTAGAGCGCAGCCTGCGCTAGGGGCGGTTGCTGTCGCCTCCGCGCTGCGCGCATTGCCTCTCCTTCCTTTCCTTTTCCTCCCCACGCCTTCCTCTCCGGCCGTACCTGGCGCGGCTGCGGAAGGCGGCGGGGATGCGCCTCGCTGACCGCCTGTACTCGCCCCGGCCGGCGGCGGGGGAGCAGCGCCCGCGCTCGGCGGGCGACGGGAACTTCGGCGGGGCGGGCGGGGTCCCGCGGGGCGGGGCCGGGGCCGCGGCGGCGGCCGGTGCGGGGCGGGATCCGCCGAGGAGAGCGGAACGCGGCGGCGGCTGCTCTGACCTGTGGCTGAGCGACGGAACGTGCCCAAGCCATCTGCGCTCGCAGCCCGAAAAGCCGATCGTATCCTGGGTTGCCTCCCCACCCGCTGTGGGCAGCAGGTGTAGGGCCCCTCTGCCCCGCTTAGGTGAGACCCCACCTGCAGAGCTGCAGGTGCCAGGAAGGACATGGACTTCTTGGAGGGAGTCCAGAGGAGGCACCAAGATGATTAGAGGGGTGGAGCAGTTCTGGTCTGAGGAAAGGCTGAGAGAATTGGGATTGTCCAGCCTGGAGAAGAAACCAAGGGTGACCCTTCCACTACCAGAAGGCAACCTACTAGAAAGATGGAGAGAGAGACTATTTACAAGGGCCTGGAGTGACAGGACAAGGGGGAATGGCTTCAAACTGGATGGTCTTCACGGTCCCGTCCAATCCAAACCATTGTATGACCTGTGAGCTGCAGGGAGGGTCGCCCACAAGGGAGGGAACAGAAAACACTTTCCAGGGCAGCTCCACGGGCCAGGATCAGAGCTCCAGGCTCTGTCAGGGCCTGTACAGGGCCAAGGCACCAAAGCCACCTCTGAGGGTTGAACCTGTTCCTGCAGGTACTGCTCGGGCAGGACTGCTGGAGGGATGTTTGGACACTGACACATCATGATGTGATGTAACATGATGACCCCGGTGCCTGTGTGCTCGTCCAGGTCCTCCTGCATGTATAGCAACAATCTCACTGACTTCCACTGGTTCTTCTTAACAAATGAGACTTCTGGGAATAATACCTGGAAACCTAAATGTTTTATTGATCATCCCATACAATTGAAGACCAAAAGCACAAGGAGCACACAGGAAATGGTGTATTACCTGTTAAAGCTAATATAAACATTTATTTAAATTACCTAAATAGTGTGAGGTAGCCAGTGAAACCAACAATGCAATCAGCATCTTGGCATTGCTTAATTGCCCATGTGAATGAAATGTAACTAACATGGAAATCTGAGGTTCTTGTCAACCTGAAAAACATTATTTTTGCACAATAAAAGTAGATGGTAAACAAACTATTGGGTTTTCACTGGCTATTTCCCTTTAAGAAAACTAATATTTATATCTTAAGTCAAAAAAATAATCTTTTTAGTCCAGTACAAAATGTTCCCTTTAATTAAATTATCTCTACTCCCTTGGGATGGATGCCTCATTAAACCTCCTGGGTGCAGATTGCTTGCCTCCATCTCACCCTGGAATGGCTAAGAGCTTTACATCACATCTACCCACAGTGCCAAATTAATCACCAAATAAATGAAGCAACAGGGTAATTTTCGGTTGTGAGTCAAGAAAATGACTTGTACAAGAAATAAACTGCAATAGAAGGACTCCTACCTAGAAGGTGTTAATGAAACACAGAGAGTGCTCTGGTTTGGGTTTTATGCTATTTGTAGCAGAACTGATGAACAAGATGCCAAGCTTCTGGAATGAAGCTGGGATCAGAGGGAATGTAGACTTGTCATCCACATTATCTGTCAGTGCATTTGCTGGGTTTTGCCTTCACAGGAGAGCAACATCACAGGAAACGGTGCAACAAGCACTTAAACAACAAATTACAGTACGGAAATCTTCCAGGAATATTTTCCTCTTAGTCTATACCCTCCTGCCTCCCTTGATCCCTATGGGAATAGTATTGCTTTCCTCAGCATCCTATGCTCGTTGCTTTTGAAGTCCACAGCGGACAGTAAGTGACAGGAACTGGTGCCAGTGTGGCTGTGTGGCTTGTGCCACTCCAGATCCTTTTGCAGTGCTTCTTCCCTGAAAGAGGGTGATGTGATAGACCAAACCACTCTGTACATAAACTGGGACCGCCTGGCACTCTAGAAGGAGTTCAAACTAGAATAATTCAGACAACCACTGGAATCTTTCGGCTCATGCCTAGAGCTTTGCCATGCCATTTTTTTTTTTAATCATGAATATCTGTTGTGTAACAGTAGTTACTTTGCATCTAATTTTTTTAAGGTAAATCATATTTGAACAGAATCAAAAATAAGCAGGAGCTAAAATATCTGCAGTGCTGGGGCTGTGCCAAACACCCACAGATTCTGTACCCTGTACTCAAGCCTTGTCAAGTAGCTCCGCACATCTTTATTCTAATCATTCACTTTCATTTTACGCCTAACAGAGAATAGTCCTGATTACTCAAGCCAAGCACAGCAAGAAAAGCACAGAAAACATTTGTTCAGCTTTGGGTCCTTGGTACTCCTGGCATAGCTTGAACTTCCACAGTCCCTTACCATGAAAGATTTTGGTGTATGTGCAGCGATCACAAAACTCTTGACTAGATTTTCACCAAACCTTTTCAATAAGTGATTGGATCACTCTAAGCAGAGAGGCAGCAAGAGCTTCTGGAAGTTATAAAGTGACTTGAACAGCTGAAAAAGTCCAGAGGTTCATAATTCTTTGGGCAATGCAATTCCAGCCAGGAATTTATTGTCGCACTCCTGACCACAGATACCCTGATACAGCAGGGGATGGACTGAACAAGTGCTTTTCACTTACACAAACAGCTTTGTGTTTTTGCACAGACACTGTTTGGTTAGGTGATAAAATCGCAGAGCCAGAGAATCATTAAGGCGGGAAAAGACCTCTCAGATCAATTGATGATCCTGGAGGTCTTTTCCAACTTTAATGGTTCTAGGATTATTGAATCCAACTGTCAGCCCAGCATCACCACCACATTTATCACTAAACCGTGTCAAGTGCCACGTCCACGTGTTTTTTGAGCAATTCCAGGGATATGAGTCCTTGACTGTCCTGGGCAACCTGTACCAATGTTTTACAACCCTTTCTATGAAAATATATTCCCTAATAACTAACCTAAATCTCTCCTGGCACAACTTGAGACAATTGCCTCTCATCCTGTCAAAGGCACTTAATCCTTATTATAAAGATGAGAATTATAGAACACTCATCTCACACACACTGAGAGGTGCAGAGTGAGATGGACAGGTAGAGCCCCAGGGACCTAATGAGGGAAACAAGGTCCCCAGCCCCGCTTGCCAGTGCACTGGATGCAGCTGGGAAAGGAGCTGCAGCAGCTTCAGCTGTTGAGTGAAGATATTTGGCAACCCCAGCACCAGCCTCTACAGACAAGTCCATGCAGCCTTCTGCTCATATGGCAATTCCCTGGCATGACCAGCATCACCATGGGAGTGTTTCTGAAGTCATTATAAAGAGTTCCAAAAATTTCTGTTCTAGTGAGAATGGGCACAGTTACAGAATCCTGGAATGGTTTGGGTTGTTGTACTCACTTTTACCAGGGGTGGAGATCATTCTCACTCCAGCACTCCAGCTCTGGGATAGGAGCTGCCCTGGCTGTCCTTACCAGCACTCTTGATTAGTATGCAGGGAACGCTGACTGTACCAAAACAAAGAATTCCATGATAACATGCCCAGCTCAAAGGCAAAGTCTGGAACAGGGGGGAAGGCAAGAGCAAGGCAAAACCAAACAGGAAATTTATAAACTCCTGCTGTTAGTGAAAGGCTGAGAGGACTTTGTGCTGCAGAGCAGCAGATGTAGGGCCCAGGGTGCTACAAATGGCACCCTGAGCAGGTCAGGATGAGTCCTTACATCGGAGACCCAGGAGCACAACCCTCTGGATTGTTAATATCCTGCTGTGGGCAGTGCCTGCAGCTGGTCTCTATGCCACTTCTTGAATTGTCCTAACCCCGGACACTCATTTTCATGGAAGTGCCTCACCTTCTAATACTCAGTTAATGATTGACTTTTTGAAGTATTCCTCAGGTCACAATAATAATAAATCTGCCAAATAGTGTGACCTGAGGGGCAAAAGTAATCTTGTCCTCCATCTCTCCGAGCTAGAACTTCAGGTCTTGTGCCCTAGAAAAATTTGGGTGCAGTAAATTAAAAGTTAAATCAAAGTTATAAAACTTAACTTGAAGAAAAAAAAATTACAAATTCCAATCACTAAAGTACTCAAAGTTAAGGTGGTCTGGAAAGGAAGAAACCTGAAATAGTACTTAAGCACGGTTTGAGCAGGAACTACAAAA